CTGTCTGGCCCCGGCTCGTCCCGCGCCGCTGCTGCAGCCTCCCGGCCCACCAGAAGGTGAGAGACACCCCCGAAGCCCTGCCCGGGCTGTCCTCCGTGTCCCCTTCCCTGCCCGTGTCCCTTCCCTGCCCCTTCGCTTTCCCCCTTTGCGTTTTCCGTCCCCTCCCCGTGCGGCTCCGTTTGCCCCGCGGATAGAGCTAAGGGTTCATCAGGGCTGGAAAAGAGCTTTAGGAGAAGCACTGCCGCCGGAGCCCCCGAGCCACATCGCCCACACGGCTCTTGGACGTCTCTGGGGATGGGGACCCCACCACATCCATGGGTAAAGCTGTTCCAACGCCTGGCCGCCCAAAATGGGAAAAAATCGTTGGGTTTTGTGCCTTTGGCACCACTTAGCCTCAGTCCAGACAGCCCCTGGATGGCTGTCAGGTGCTATCTCCATCACCTCTGTCCTTTATCCCAGCACCGCTGTTGGTCCCTCGGCAGACCCAGGCTCTCTATAACCTTATCTTGGTAGAATCACAGAGTGTTAAAGGATTGGAGTGGGCCTTAAAGCCATGTCTAGGGATGCCTTCCACTGTCTCAGGTTGCTCCAAGCCCCATCCAGCCTGACCTTGAATACCCAGGGATGGGGCAACCACAACCTCTGCCCTCAGCACCCAGGGTGGATTTGCCCAGGGTTCTTCACCAGCAGCTTGGGGCAGTCCTGGGGATTTGCAGCCTATCTGTGCCCCACAGCACGTCACCCTCAGCTGAGCTGAGGATTTGTGGCTGTCCTGTGTGTGATTCCTGCTGCTGGATCTGTCTGGGTTGTGACACTGCGCTGTCCCTCACAGGTGGCACTGCCAGCACTGTCCCCCACGATGCAGATGGGCACCATCGCACGCTGGGAGAAGAAGGAGGGCGACAAGATCAATGAAGGGGATCTCATAGCAGAGGTATCCTGGGGATGGGGCTGGGCTGGTCTCTCATGAGCTGCACGTGTGGCCTGGGGACTGTCCTTGGCTGAAGACAGATTTTGGATTGCAGATCCCAAGAGATGCTGGTGGGAAGGAGTGGCTGTCAGCCTCTCAGAGCTGGCTTGAGGGCAAACTTCCCTAGAGCTGCTGCCTCAGGGTGATTTTTCCAGAGCTGTGACCCTACAACGGACGGGGAGGCTCTGGGCTCACCATTTCCTGTTCTCTCTCAAAGGTGGAGACAGACAAAGCTACAGTTGGCTTTGAGAGCCTGGAGGAATGTTACCTGGCCAAGATCCTGGTGCCAGAAGGGACAAGGGATGTTCCTATTGGGGCCATAATATGTATCACTGTAGAAAAGTAGGTATTTTCCTAACCCTTGACCTGACTTTCCCCTCTTGGGGCTTCTGGGTTGCCTTGAGTGAAAGACTGAGACGGGGTTTGGGGCTCTGTGTGTTCTTCTAGGC